AATTTTAGGATTCAGTTTTATTCATTTAAAGTCGAGTTCCCCAACCTTTCTCGCTTTGTGGCCCAGTGAAGGGGGGGAGGAAAGAGGAGAGGGTTCTAGGTGAGTGGCGATCAAGGGTAGACACAGCTTGGTTTGCATGAGAGATGGGCATGGTGCAAATGGAGCACACACACATCCTCACCCACTACTCTCACAAATGAGGATGTGCGCGTATGCTCACCCTCCACTTCCATAGTCCAGTTCCAAATGGCTCAAGGCCTGGTAGTGGGATGTGTTGGGGACCCTTGATTTAAAGTAAAGAGATTTGCTGATGATAGGGTTGAAAGCTATACAAAAAATCATGAAAAAATAATGTTTGCTCCTAGGATGTAGATTATGTTCCCTGATCCTAAAGAGTCAAATTAATTTTGGGTGCCAACAATTGGTTTTATGACAACTTCTTATTAATGTGTTATTATTGCTGCTAGAACCCACCCAGAGATTATGACTCTGTTTTTAAAATCTTATGATTTCCTTCCACATGAATTGATTTGAATGAAGTGAAATCAAATAATTTCATTTCAGTCAAACTTTGATTTTAAAAAAAATTTGGAATGGTATCAGCTTGTAGCTTGCCTTGAAAGCAATGGTACACTGGGCAATGAGGTTTATTGGGTGTTTCTTAACAGTGAGTTCACTTCAGAAATATTTGATACATTTTCCTTGCATTGAATGACAGATGCAGCATTAATAGGCAGTAATTGCTCGTGTTTTTACCATTTTCTTAGCTAATATATTATTAATTGCATATGGTGAGATTCAGTTCATGAATAATAAATATCACAAACTACTCATTTACTCTTACCATTCTGGAGAGAAAATAGTAGTAATTAAAATGATGTTGCAAATCACAGCCAAAAAGAATAATGTGTTTGTCAAAGTCACTGTAAGTGACATTTCTGCCCTCTCTCATTTTCTTTATACGAAACTTTATGGACATCTACATCTGAAATAAAATCACTGGGATTTATTCCCAGTTAGGTTTGCATTGCAGCCACTTCAGGGTTCCATAGATGCATTGGAATACAATAGCTAGTTGCCAGTTAGTGGTCTTAAGTGTGGATGATGGGAGCTGTATTCCTGCCCATCTAGAGGAAGCTAAGTTAAGATATATTTTGTTGGCATGTAAGATCAAGTAGGAAATTGGAATACAAAGTTGTCAGAGAATAAACAGGTGGGAGAAGGCATTCCAGCTACGGGCATAGCCATATAACAATTTTATATCAGGAAAGATAATTTTTAAAAATTACAGTTGAATGAAGTGATGAAATTTGCAAGCAAGATAAATGTAACACCTAGGTGGGAAGCTGAAGAAGTCTTCTCCATTGAACACAACTGCTAGGCTAATGTAAAAGGCAACAAGCCCCAAATAGATTCCAGAAACATAAAAGCAGCCTTAGGATATTTAGAAATAGAAGTCCTCAGCATGTTTCATTTTCGGATTGAAAATGTCATTTCCAATATAGGGGTGCTCCAGTAATTTTGGGCTTCACCTCCATTAGTATATTGGCCTGAAATTATGGGAGCTGAAATCTAACACCTCTTTTCCTGTTGGCATATTATGTTTATTAGTTTATAATATAAAATACAAAAATACAAAAGAAAATAGTAGGGAAAAGGGAAGTAGGCAGGGGAAAGGGAAGGGAGAAGTGTGGGGCAAAGGGATAAAAGAAAGAAAAGGTGTTGACTTCCCACTCCCTTTGGTGCAGTAGAATAAGATAATAGCACAAAACCTCATTTTTTTACTTTTGCATAATATAAACTAGCCATTTCTATAACAACAAACGTATTAATCAGTAATTCCCAAAATCAAAATTTTAGGATTCAGTTTTATTCATTTAATTTTTTTTCCACATCAAGCACAAAGTCCAAGCAGAAACAAAAATAATTGTATTTTTTTCTTTGATCAAAGAAGTCAATTTGCCCATCTCTGCTAAATCTAACAACAGTTGAGGAAGAGTGCAATGGCTAGTGGTGCTTTGGATGCCAGGAGGGGAAGAGGAATATCAATTGAGCTGCCTGAAAAGGCTGGCAAAACCCAATAGGAGCCCTTTATTATGAGTCAAAATCAGAAGGCAACTGGCCTACATTCCTTGTGAGCTGCACTAGCTACAGTTTGTAAAAATAGATTAATTGCAATATATCAATTGTACTTTTTCAGGAAGTTCACTCTGGATGACCTTCTCACAAATGTGATGATCTATTGGACTTCAGGTTGTGTGGTTTCTTCAATGCGCTTCTACAAAGAACTTTTGGGGAAGGGTATTGGCGTAGAAAAACATGACACGTAAGTGATTGCCATATTTCTATTTTGGAGTTCTTGTTCTAGAATGGTCTGTATCTCTAGGATGGTCCGTGTTATACCTCTGTTCTGCAAGCTGCATTGGCTGTCAGTTTGCCTCTAGGTGTAATTCAGTAATTGTTGTTCTCTTCTTTGTCTGTTATGGAGTAGCTTCTGCTGGATCTTTTTTTTGGATTTGATGTAGACCCAAATGGGATAGCGATGGGTTCTGAGGGCCTCCTTGATGTGTTTTAGGGTTTCCCCCCCCCCCATCTTTGCTGGTAGGCAAACTTTCAGCCTGGTGGTATAAGGTTCTCTCTTCAATCCCATTTTGTGCTCCAGTAANAAGAACTAGTTTGGGGTGTGTGGCAGGCCTGGGTCGCTGCCATCAAACTGCCGGTTTGGCCGAACTGGTCCGAACCAGTAGGAACCCACCACTGCCTTAAGCTGACTTCTGAAAAACTTAACTGTCAGTGATTGTATAAATACAAGAATACACAGAGGATAGAATTTGTCAGATTTTGCACTGGAGGGATGTGGTCAATAATGAGAACAGAAACCAAAATACCCATGGGGCTTCTTACCTCATCCCCATCTTAACACTCTAGCATACAGCTGGCAGCCCAAGAGGTCCCTGCACAGTAAGAGAGCCTCTTTTCTCTGGGATATATTTTTGACTAAAGGAAGGAGTTGTCCATAGAGGCAGTGACCTATCAATGGATGTGGTCTGGGAAAAAGAATTACTGAGAACAATAATGACCTGCCAAAAAACAAAACATCTGATTTCTTAAACTGAACTAGTCTTTCCAAGTTATCATCTCAAGCTTTTGAATTGCAGAGACCATCTTCTTCAGCCAGTGGACATGCTATGTAGAGTTGCTAGATATTGTAACTTATCCCATCTGGATGTACCACTCTAAAGCAGGATGGCTGAGAGTCACATGACTATGTCCCCAAAACTTCTGTTGCAGAAGATTTATTTTACATCTGTAATATCCTAAAGAATCAAGTGTGTCATTTTTACTCTGACTAATAAGACATAAATATACAAATTTGAACAAATCACAATGTTATTGTTAAAGTGCCTGACTTCTTTCTAAACAATTGTTTTAGCCATGTGAAAGGCATTCACTTAAATGTAGTATTCCTGACCACTATCAGCTTCAAGCAGAAACTCTCCATTCTACTGGGACAATATTTCCCAAGACTATTTGGCTTCCAGGCAGAAGATATTAAACAGATCTTTCCTTTCAAAAAAACGATCTCTAAACTTATTCTGGAGACGGGCTATATGCACCTTCAAGCTACAAAGCCAGACACTGTAGGTAAGAGAAGCTTTTGCTTTGAGCATTTCATGTGCTTGTTTTTGCAGATAAGTATTTGTAGAATCAGGAAATGCACCTTTGGGGGTTGTTTTAGTTACAGTTAGGTGTGGTAAGAAGCATCTAATCTAGCCAACCTTGGCTGAACCAAAAAGCTAAACCGGGTCAAAGCTAGTTAGAAGGTAGGTGAAATCTCAGGTGTGTAGTTTAGATTGAGGCAAATTCAAATGCATTGTTGGGTCTGCTACATGAATGTTTTGACCTTCTCTGTAGATGAATCTGTTCTAAGGACTTCACAAAAGGGGGCTATGGAACCTCCAGTAGTCACTAAGCTCTGTGGACACTTATTGGGGTTTCCAGTAGTTAGTAAGCCATGAGTTGTATAACCTGTACTAGTATATATGAGTAAAAGTACTGCCATCTATCCAATAGAAGCATTCTTTGAAACATGAGAAACACAATGAGCTTTTCTTTACGGTAGTAGTTCTGCCTTCAAGGGAAAACTGGTGGGCTGACAAGGCGAGAACAAGTCTTAACTTAACCTCATAGTTAATATGATACAAGTGGGTTGCAAGAAACATTCTTAAACTTCTGGTTTTTCCTTTATTAAAACATTGGATTAAATGGTGAACTGCTAGTGTTGGTAAACAGTATGCAGTGTCTTAATTCTTTTGAAGTGTTTAATACATGCTGTTTTTCCCATAATGTTCCTTGTCATGAATCTGTTTATTAAATGTCATCTGGGGACAGTAATTTGTTATGTATCCATCAGCCTCCCAAGTAGATTAAATAAGAAACACGACAAGATGATTTTATTTCTAATTCTGCTTAAGTAATGAAATCAGGTGATAAAAATAGACAGTGGGAAATGAGTACTTTCAGACTTGTAAGATTCTTACATAGCCTTACATTAACAGAATCTTACAAGTCTGAAAGTACACATTTCTCACTGACTCTTTTTATCACCTGATTTCATTACTTAAGCAGAATTAGAAATAAAATCATCTTGTCGTGTTTCTTATTTAATCTACTTGGGAGGCTGATGGATACATAACAAATTACTGTCCCCAGATGATAGTTAATAAACAGATTCATGACAAGGAACATTATGGGAAAAACAGCATGTATTAAACACTTCAAAAGAATTAAG